CAAATACCTGTACTTTCTACTTCTTACATGTTGAACTCAAATACCTGTACTTTCTACTTCTCTCATTTTCCAACTCAAATACCTGTACTTTCTACTTCTTACATGTTGAACTCAAATACCTGTACTTTCTACTTCTTACATGTTGAACTCAAATACCTGTACTTTCTACTTCTTACATGTTGAACTCAAATACCTGTACTTTCTACTTCTCTCATTTTCCAAACAGGCTGGTTCCTTTAGTCTGAATGTGTGTTTGGTGGCGTGATCATTATTATTTAGAGTCATTGCGTGCCTATTGATTTGAACACGATCCGTGTATCCATCATTTCCTGGTCTTCTCTAAAGAAGAGGGACCAATGAAAACGTTGTCATGTTGCCGTTGTTCAGCATGGAAACATTCATTAGCTAACAATGACATTATTGTTCTATTAATATAAAGGGAGGTCAGGTACTCTTTAAAACAGTTGTTTGCCTTTCTAATGAAGTGAAGAAGAAGTATAGTGGCTTGGTGTCTGAGATATTTATATGACTGATTATCTACTGTTTCCCCTCGTACACAAATACCCATAATATACGCCTCAAAATAGTTTAATAGGAGACCTTTAAAGCAACCATTGAACTGTGCAATACAGAAACTTAAAGGTGCATTTGTTGTGTTTCTGACAGATAGAGAAGTTGGGAGATATCTGCATTTCCCTTCGTTACGTCCCCACGGCCGGGAAGTTCACGATTAACATCATGGAGGCCAAGAACCTGAAGAAGATGGACGTCGGAGGACTTTCAGGTGAGCAGACACACACCTGGAAGCAACGGTCTGTTATCCTTAGCAACGTTCTGTTAGCAGAAAATAGCAGACTGCACAATGTCCGAGTTTGACCAATCGGCATCCAGCATTTAACTAAACGATATTATAAATGCTCATCAAGATTAGTTTTGATAACATATTTTGGAAGAAGAAGAAACTGATAAAACCTTCAGAGTGGCGCGAGAACGCCCACTATCTAGAAGGGACTGCAGAAAAAAGACTGCATCGTCAGCCAAAGTGGCTGATGGGTGGATGGATGGATGGATAGAGTGGTGGGTGGATGGATGGATGGATGGAGTGGGTGGATGGATGGATGGATGGGTGGGTGGATGGATGGATGGATGGGTGGATAGATGGGTGGATGGATGGATGGGTGGATGGATGGGTGGATGGATGGATGGATGGGTGGGTGGATGGATGGATGGGTGGATAGATGGGTGGATGGATGGATGGAAGGATGGGTGGGTGGATGGATGGATGGATGGGTGGATGGGTGGGTGGATAGATGGGTGGATGGATGGATGCATGGATGGATGGATGGATGGATGGATGGATGGATGGATGGGTGGGTGGATGGATGGATGGGTGGATGGATGGATGGATGGATTGGTGGGTGGATGGATGGATGGATGATAGATAGAGAGATAAATAGATAGATAGATAGATAGATAGATAGATGATATATCTCTGGTGGTCTCTCTTCTCTCTCAGATCCCTTTGTGAAGGTGGTTCTTCAGCACAATGGAAAGAGACTGAAGAAGAAGAAGACGTCGGTCAAACAGAACACTCTGAATCCGTATTTCAACGAGAGTTTCAGTTTCGAGATCCCCTTCTCTCAGATCCAGGTTCGTACACGAGGAACATATCCAATAAGCACAGAGAAACGATGTACTTCCAACATTTATACAGTGTGTCAACAGTAGCTAATAAATGGTGACTGTTAAGTAAATGTAGTAGAGTCTAAAGTATCATTTCTGCCTTTCTAATATAATAAAGAAGAAGTATAGTTAGTTGGTAGCTGAGATATTTGTATGGCTAAATCTTTTCTGTATCCATCGTACAGAAAGTGCAGGTGCTGATCACCGTGTATGATTACGATAAGTTGGGCAGTAACGACGCCATCGGGAAGTGTTGGATGGGCTACGGAGCGTCGGGCATCGGGATCAAGCATTGGTCGGAAATGTTGGCCAATCCCAGGCGTCCGGTGGCCCAGTGGCACTCGCTGTGCCCGGAGGAGGAGGTGGACGCCGCTCTGAAGGCGCCCATCCGCTAAACACACGCACACATATATATATATATATATATATATATAGAATACACCATCATCTGTATAGAGATTTGCTTTTCCTTCCTCTTTGACCATCATGAATCACCAGTTCTGTGCTCTAATGGTTTCATTTTTTGGCAGCCGCTAACGTTAAATTGACCAGACTTCTTTCTGCGGATGGATAATGGTCTGTTATCCTTAGCAACGGTCTGTTATCCTTAGCAACGGTCTGTTCACCGGAAAATAGCAGACTGCATAATGTCCGAGTTTGACCAATCAGCATCCGGTATTTAACTAAACAATATTATAAATGCCCTTCAAATTAGTTTTGATAATATATTTGGGAAAAACACATTCATTTCTTTGTGTTCGAGTAACTTTGAACTACATTTCCTGTTCCTTATGTCTTCCAAACTATTTATTTCCTATTCGGTTCCTATTTAGTTAAATGTTTTTACGTCTTATTGTCTCTTTGTGCGTCAACCTGTGCTTGTGTTTGAATGAGTGTGTGTGTGTGTGTGTGTGTGTGTGTGTGTGTGTGTGTGTGTGTGTGTGTGTGTGTGTGTGTGTGTGTGTGTGTGTGTGTGTGTGTGTGTGTGTGTGTGTGTGTGTATGGATAGGCCTGTGCACCTGGGTGTATCTTAGTATTAAACTTAGAATGTTGTATGTTTTGTTGGTAAATTCAACATGCTTACAGTAGGTAACATGCTTTGCAGTACAATGACATCGACTGAGCGAAAAGACAATGTAATATGTATTATCTTTACATAGGAGTGACAAAAAGTTGTTTCTTTGCTGTGGCTCAATTTCAAAGAAATTGTCTTTAAAAAATAAGGTGTTTCTCCCTAAATAATGGCAAATAGTTTGGTGACAATTGTGTAAGAATAAACTGTAGCTTGATTACAAAAAAAGTATGCAGGGTGGATGCAGCAAAAAAGTAAACATATTGCATTATCAGAAAATACCTGTTTCAATGTATGTGGTACAGTCAATCTAATAAGTATCATAAAGGAAGTTATGATGATGGATATAGGGAATTATTCACTCCCAGTGTGTACAGTGCAAAAATGTACACTGCAGTAAATTGTTCCTTTTTAAAGTACAGACTTGAAGAAAAAGTGAAGTATAAAACAAATGTAAAGAATCAAATAGGGTGTGGGAGACGGAGGGGGGGAATGGTAGGAAGAAAGAGTGGAAAAGCAGAGGGAGGGAGACAAACAGGGGCTGCTTTGGGGCCGCCGGTCGCCACAGGGTGTGTGTGTGTGTGTGTGTGTGTGTGTGTGTGTGTGTGTGTGTGTGTGTGTGTGTGTGTGTGAGGTGTGTGTGTGTGTGTGTGTGTTTGCATGTGTGTGTGTGAGGTGTGTGTGCAATGTAATGTGTGTGATTTCACTTTGCATACTTTACAATGTGAATGTAAATAAATAGATGAATGAAATAAAACGTTTCCAAACAATGACACATGGTCTGATGAATGGATTTAACACACACACACACACACACACACACACACACAGGGTTGTGGTCCAGAAAGTTTTGGTGTGCAATGAAAATAAATCAATGACATGTACCTGTGTTTGTTTACTGGACAAAACCCCTTCACACATTGACACGTGTGGTGGAAATAGTAGCCATTTTGGACCATGAAACACTTTACCCTCTTAATCCCCAAGCCTGTTTTTCAGGTTTCAGGCTCGAAAATGACATTCCCGGAACAAATGACCATGATGAATGATCTTCCCTTCTAAAAGGGTTAAATTAATAATATTTATTCTCAAAGTAATGATAAACCTGTGAGTTGGATGTAGAAAAGTCAGAATCAATATAGATGTTTTTTATTTTAAAGAAAATTCCGATTGAACATAGTAAAAAACTGTAAATTATAGTGTCCGTTCAAAATATATTTTGTACTTATAGTGAAAACTAACCTTGGATGATGGGTTAGTGCAGGGGTTCCCAAACTTTTCAGCCCGCGACCCCCAAAATAACAGTGCCAGAGACTGGCGACCCCGTGGGGGGCGTAATTTCAGTTTTCCGCACTCTCGCGGGAGTGTCATTATTGTCTCACTACTATCACTACTACTATTACTATTACTACTACTACTATTACACTATTATCACTACTGTCATTATTAGGCTGTAAGTTGTTATATACTGTTGGAATGGGTAAGCAGGCCTATTGTTTTTGGATATTTGTGGAGTTTGGTGGTCCATGAGTGTTTTTTATTGGTTAACTGTTCCTTGGTATGAAAAAGTTTGAGAAACACTGCGCTAGTGGATTGTCAAAGGGGGAGCCTCGTTGCGGGGAAATATACAGATGGCTAGTCCGCCCCTGAAAAAGTCTATGCAAACTTTTTATTTGTTTTCATTTTTATTTTGTAATCATCTCGCGACCCCCACTTTGGGAACCCCCGCGTTAGTAGACTAAAAGCTTTAGGAATCCAAAGTAAAACATATAATAAGTACCGTGTATCAAGATTGATGCAAAACAAGTGATATTTAACCTTTTTAGACAGATTTAGCAAAAAAAAACTCTTCTGGGGCCATTTGGGTGGATTTTCCTTATCTCTGGCCCCCCTTCTTCGATTTTGACATGTGACATCTCTTTCTCACCGTTAGAGCCAATAGAATCGAAGGGAAATCGTCCCGAACACACTAATGTTAAAAAAAAGATGGCGTCTTTGCGCATTCAATCTTGCTACAGAGCAAAAGAATGGCCTGCTCTACTATTTGAAAACGGAATTGCAGTTTTATTGCTTATAGATCAGAAAATTTCAAAGGGGACACAGCCACATTGGATATTAACCTATGGATTAACTACATCATCGTTGTTATCGTTTTAATGCCATTGAAGACCAGTTTAGACCTGACAAAACCAAGGTAAGCCATGTTAGCGTTGTAGGCTACCTTGGGTTGCCAACTGTCCCGTATTAGCCGAGACGCCCCGTATTTGAGCCAAAAGGGGCGCGTCCCGTACGGGACTTTGTTTGTCCCGGACTCCCGTGTAAAGGGAAAAAATATATATATTTTTCTGTTTGCGCGCAATGCAGTGTGTCTGGCTTCGTGCCTGTGTGTTTGTGTGCTGTATCCGAAGCGCGCTAGGACCGCTCAGTTGACAGGGCAGGCACAATGCTCGCACATGTGTGTGTGTGTGTGAGATTTTCTCCGGTGGGCCGCGGGCGCGGCATCATTGTTTGTGTGGCATAATGAGACGTAAAAAATTCAACTAGTACTCATATCATATGATATCAATAACAAATAACCTTAAATTTATATTTTGTTAACACAACTTAATTCTCTCCCTATTACCCAATGTAATATTATATACAGTTCCACTTGCACT